TATAAATAGATATAGTATTATCCCGAATCATAATTGTACATATGTGGTGGGATGTGGATATTTCAAAGGAAACTAATAAAGTATAAAAATGGTCTCCTTGGAATATTAAGTCTTGTTGATACTGAAAACTACTGAAGCTTCTGTCTTGTATTTTATGATGCTGTCAGACCAGATTCTCTTGACTGAATAGGAGTCTTGTTTTACATGGTTGTTTATTTGCTACGGACTCTGATACAGAATTGCACAACAAAGCACATGTTATGCTCTCTACAGCGCTATCACTTTGTGAAAGTACCTTCTTTTTCATGCCACAACTTAATGCCCCCTGCAATCACTTTTTCAGTTCCGGAAGAATAGCCTGGCTTGTGAATTTGAAAAGCACTATACATTTCTGCACCAGTGAATTAGGATCTGAATCTTATTGTGTTTACGCAACATTTTTATTATGAGATTATTTTATTTTTATTTTTCAGAGTCTCTTTTCCTTCATGGTGGATTGGGTCCTGAGCACTTGTGGTAAAAATCCAAGCAAATAAATAAGTAAACACACACAATAAAAATTAGGATAATCTTGCCTTCTCGTAAGTGCCAAGTAAAGATCTTAGTGAAGTAGGGGGGGGGGGGGACCTTACTTAACAGTAAAAGCAAACTACACAATAGTAGAAAAGGGAGGCATCACCTGACGATTTAAGGGTAGGGCTGGAGGTTAGTAAAGTCAAGTAACTGTCAGTCGTCACATTGTTTTGCCATTTGTCACATTATCCCTAAGGGCCAAATTAAATGTTATGGCATCCAGAGATTGGGCCCGTGGATGGGCCCAGAGATGGGCATCCAGAGATTGGGCCCGTATTCAGCCATTTAGAAATGCCTCGGGAACTAATGGTGTGAAGGGACCAGGCAATATTGGTTCCCCTTCCCCCATCTGCATTTTCAAATGCAAAAACAGTGCAGTAGTTAGAGCGTTAGACTAGGGTCTCAAGTCCTGGGTTCAAATCTTTACTCTGCCATGAAAACTTGCCAGGACTTTGGGCCAGCGACACACTCTGCTTAACCTGCCCCCCAGGTTTGTTGTGAGGATAAAAAGAAGGAGGGTCAAAGATTTTAAGCCACTTTGGGTCCCCATTGAGGAGAAAAGGGGAGTATTAATGAAGTAAATAAATCACTAATTGTAGTTGTAATGTAGTTACCACTGCAGAGCCTTTTGTATTCCATACTGATTTCTGATGGTTGCTGTATTAATGCAATTTCAGAGTTTTTGAGTCGTATAATACAGCACTGCCTACCCATCTCTTGCCCATTATTGTATTTGCCTCCTTTTAAAAACCACAAATCAAAATATCAGACACTAACCTCAGTTAAGAAATTCAATTCCTGGATTAGCCACAGACTTTATTGTAAACTCAGTTTGCTTTGCACTTCAGTTCTTATCTGTAAATTACTACTTCCTCGTTATATAGGAGTCTGGAAAGATGCTTATTCCATTTAATACTCATGGAGAGATATTTGCTTAGGTATGCAGATTGTACTCCACTTTTAAATGTTCCTTCCTACACACTCTTACATGGGAAGTTACATACAGACGTACATAGAATTGGTCTGTAGCACAGCTGAACTCCACAATACTAGGAGTGGTCATATTGAAATCAATAGGAGATTTGATATTGACTTCAGTAGAAGTGGGAATTTAGCCTGTAGGTGCATATATTTATACATCCATACTTGTACCAAGAGGATTCAGAGCACTGTAGTTGTCCTAAAGAAACTACAGAGCTGATCACTCATTAGGGTGTAATACTGTTATTGGGCAATTCTTGTATCAACAAAGGCAGGGCACTCTTAAATTTACATAAGCTTAATTGAAAACAGTGGGAAGTCTCCAAGTCAACCTCTGTAAGGTCAAATATTTGTGGTCACATTGTGTGCAGGTAGCAAGATAACCCTGTCTTTAGTGTAAGTATCATACTGTCGTGGGTCAGCTTGACCAGTTGGAACTCAGCCTGGAGGAATACACCTTGAGTGTTGCAGAGCCTGGGCCCAGCTCACAAGAAGCAGCTGAGGAAAGTCAGGAGCTCCAGGAGTCAATGCTGACAGCTGACCCTGGCTACTTGAAAAGTACGCAAACAGAGAGTGATTTCAGCAAAGCGTACTTTATTCTATCTGGAACAAGACGACTTTGGCCGGCTCCCAGGCCGGCTTATATCCCCCGAGAAACCGCCACCCAAAAAACAACCCTATTTCCCTATAGGTTATTTACAGTGGCCGAGAGTCCCATAGGCTCTTGGCCGGGAACCTAGCCCCCTGATTGGAGCGGGCTAGGATCCGCATAGTCCATTGTCTCTTGGAGCGAAGCTCGACGTTTGTCTCTGGATTTGTCTGGACTGGATACATTACAGAAGCAAAATGGGGGGGGAGGGCACGGTTGGTTAATGAGGCAGGGCACATTCATGAGGGGGTGTCACCCTCACCAGCCCCCCCCCATGGCTATGGGCCTGATTCCACCAAATCCAAACATTATATTGGGTAAAGAAAAATTGATCTTTAAACATGAACCCTGAATCCCAGTCCTATGTAGTGTTAAACACAGTTAAGCCAACTGTCATGAGTGAGTTTAAACACACTTAGCTCTGCCTAGGATCTTGTATGGCATAGGCATTATTGTCAGACTAGGACTGGAAAATTTGGGTTCAAATCACCACTAGATCATGTAGCTCACTAGGAGACCTTGGGTGAGTTACTCTTGTCAACCTAATGTACCTTGCAAGAGGTACTTCGAAACAGACCTGTAGCTACAGTGGGGCATCTTGGAGCTAAGCCCACCGACTTACCGCCCAGACCTCCCGACTTTTTCCAGGTGGAGTACCACTGCCATCACCAAGGTAGCGCCAGCCTGGTGGGGGTGGGTGGGGCAAGTGTGCTGCTGCTCGGTGGCCACTGTGTGCATGCCCTCAGCTTTTGCCAGTGCCAATGCTGGGTGTTGCAGCTTTGCCATGAGTGCCTCCGCACGGCCCGTGGGGGCAAGTGCCAGAGCCACCCAGGCTGGAGTGCGTCTTGTTGGGCGGTGGCCCCATGGGCAAGACCAGCCTGGTGCTCATCTACAGCACCAAAGACTTCCCGGTGCGCTACCTGCCCACCGCCCTGGACCACTTCTCTGGTGTGGGGCTCAGATGCTAAGGTCCCCCCCTCCTGACTGGGGGCAGCCTGTGGAAATGCCCCTCCCCAACTTCATCTCTCTCTCTCTTTTCCAGCTGTGGTGCAAGTAGATGGAGTGGGCTGGCTGGGCGGCACTCCTTCTCTCTTGGAGTGATCCCACCTGGGGGGGGGGGCAGCCCAGTCACCAAGAAGTTGGTACAACTATTTTTGAGAGGGAGAGAGAGAGAGAGACTGACTGGTTGGAGGGAAGGGTGGGATCGGGGCTGCTCACTTGGGTGTGTGTGTGTGTGGGAGGGTGCCCCCCAACTTATTTAAAGGCCCCCAAATTAAAAAATCCTTGCTACAGGCTTTGAAGGCAAAATGGAGGAAGAGAGAACCATGCATACTGCCAAAAGCTCATTGGAGGGAAGGCAAGATTTCAAAAGGAAACTAGATAAGGATCTGATTGCTTGGCTGCAACATTTATTTAGACCAAGATTCACTGAAATATGAGATACTTCAAAGTACACAAGTTTAAGTTGCAGAATTCTTTTGTTTTTTAGTATTTTTGTTACTGGAAATTCAGGTAATTTCTCTACAAATATGAAAAATAATTTGCAAAAGGCTACAGTCTTATGTACATCTAAGCAGAAGAACAGGTTTTAGGTCAGCTAGCAACACTTACAAAGCAGAAAGCATTGCAGTGCTATTGGACAGTATTTGCCCTTGTTACAAATTTAGACCTATTATTATATGGGACAGAATTCATTTGTCCTTATTCCTGCAGAGGAAAAAAAAACTGGAATTTTCTACATTAGAAACTTGCTAGCATGTTTTGTTTTTTAAAAGGAACGGAGTATCCCAAATTAGCACTCTCCCTTTAAGTTCTTCCTGGAGTGTACTGGAATATAAATCCTATTGAGATAAATGAGATTTAACTTGGATAGCCCAGTCTTGTCGGATCTCGGAAGCTAAGCAGGGTTGGCCTTAGTTAGTATTTGGAAAGGATCTGTTAAATAGTGGGTTCCATGGATGAGCAGTGATCAGCTCTACTCAATTAGTGATTTTAGCAAGAACAAGACTGAAGACTCCAGGGCAGCAGCCCTATTAAATAGCATACAAAAACCACACCCAAACAGACCCCACTCCCAAGGATAGGCTATTTACATAATATTACTTCTTGATTGGTTGCTTCCAGAGTCCTGGTGGGCTATTGTTCTTAGGCTCCAAGCTCAGCCTGTCTCAGGTAGAACAGTCCTGGAATGTTTCAGTCCCAATACATAACAGGGATATGTATGTCCAAGGAAAAGTAAGGTCATAGGCAAAGGCAGGTAATGACACACTTGGAAACCTTATGGCGTGTCATAAGTCAGCTGTGGCTGGACGGCATTTTCCACGACGAAATATAAGTAAAAGAAGAACCTTGTTGCATTTAAAGATCAAACAAATTTATTGCAGTAAAAGCTTTGCGTTATAATTGACAGAGGAACGGCGCCATCTGATATGATGTCATATACGTTCACATTTTTTAACCCATATTACCTTAACTCCTCCTTCCTCTTTTTATTGTATCCAACTTCTTTTTAATTGTACTTTAAGTCTCCCCCCGGTCCCTTCCACTAAAACCTTGCTACCAGTTCAGCTACCAAGCACTCCTGGCGAAAGCACCTCGAAACAGTCATTCTTCGTTAGCAATCCCTCCCCCCCTTTCTCACTCCCATTCCTTTCCCGGGATAGTCCCAAACCTGAACTCAAGCTCTGAAGGAGGGGTCACATGGCATGGGAAAGAAGGCGGGGGAAGAAAGGAAGGCGGCGAGACTGCTTCTTGCCATTGGCTCCGCGCGTGCACGTGCCCTCCCGCCCCTCTCTCCTCTGGGCTCACAGCTGGGTGGCCCGCTGCTACCGGGAGTGAGCCGAGCAAGAGCCACTTAAGCGATTGTGTGAGAGGAGCTTGGCGGGGCAGTGGCCGGAGACTTTCTCGTTTCCTCGTGCTCTAGGGAGCCGCGCGGCGGGAGGACGCTCCGCTCTCAGTTGCCTGCAACAAGCCCGAGGCGGGAGCTCGGAGCGCTCTAGCCCAGCTACCAAGAAAGACAGCAGCAGGAAGGTAGGTAAGTCCCAGTGGAGGCGGCAACGCACAGCTGCAGGCTTCTCCGGCGCGAGGCTGCCCGCCCGCCCAGCAGTTCCTGGAGTGGGGTCGCGGCGCTGTTTTCCCGCGCAAGTTGGCTTCGGTAGCCCGACTCCAGGCGCCGAAGTTGGGAGCGTTTCCCAGCGGCTCTAGGGGGGCTGTGCGCGGGAGGGACGCGCCAGGCTCGTTCAGTTCTTTGCGCCCCACCGCCTCCCCGTATGGAGATCAGCCGATGATTGAAGCGTCTCCCTCCGGAGGAATCTGGCTGCTGCGCGGGTGGCCAAAGTAGCCGGCCACGAACTAGGTCGTTCCAGGGAGAAGGAAGTGGCTTGTATCCGGATCTGGGCAAGGCTCGCCCGGTACTCGCTCGTCGCCAGTTCGCCACTTAAAGCGTATTTGACTCCATTAGGCGAAGGCATCGCTCGCTGGCAGAGCGCCTTGCTTCGCGCGCGGTATGGCTTTCTTCGTTATTTGGCGTCTTAAAGGGGTCCCGATCCTTTTTGGCAAGACGTCCACGGGCGGGAGTTGATAGAAGTCAAGCATAGCTTCGGCATGTGTAGATTTGATGTCGGGGGGTTTTTTTTTCAGGTGGTTTTCCTGAGCCGGGTTGAGTTCTGAAGCGTCTGGGGGACCTGACCGAGGTATCCGTAGTTCTGCTGAGTAAACACTAAAAGGCGGGTTAGAAGAGAGCTTAAAATCTGACACTTGGGAGCGGCTTCTGTTTTCCTCGAGCGCTCGGGACAGACTTGGGGAAGCTACTCCAGATACACTGAGATCAGCAGCCCCCTGGAATCCGGCAGCTCTGTTTATACCTCGCCCGAGGAATCAGCCGGTGGAGCCAAAACCGCACAGACTTCAGGCGGCTTAACTCTTCCATAACCTTGGGATTCGTTCAGTTGAGCGGGGAAGTGCTGAGTCTTTTGGGCCTGGGCATGCGAGCCTGAGCACCCTCTTGGTGGTATTTCTTTTAAAACCCCACCCCTCCCGATATCTCTAGCTTCTTATTAATCAGATTCTGAACTGGAAGCCCGATTGGTGGGAGCTGGTCCAAGAATTCTCATGCAGTCTAGAAACGGATGCTGCTGGCACCCCCCCCCCCCCCGGTTGGTTGGGGAGACTGAAGAGGTAATGCTGAGGAGTCCCAGCTAGCGATGCTGTGATCCTAAGCACATGTCTGCCACTTGCTATCAAGTAGGTATTTTGAGGTCTGAGATATGAAGACACTGATGCTGGTCCTCTGTCTTAGACTCCAGTCTTGCTGTGTTTAGTAGGACTTGCTTCTTAAGAGGTGTAATAGGATACATTTCCTGTGCTACCACACTTACTTGTTTTTATTTGATTTGGTTCCTAGTTGAGTCATCTTCATTTTGTCAGTTTTGGTGTATACTTTTACTTCATTCTCCTTATGTTCTTTAATGAGAGCTAGCATGATCTAATGGGAAGAGTGTCAAACTAGAATCTGGGAGTCCCAATTTCAAATCCCCACTGTGCTATGAAAGCTGGTTGGGGGACCTTGGGCCAGCCAGTAACACAGTCTCAACCTAATGTACTTCACAAGGGTTTTGTGCGGATACTGTGGAGGAGGGGAGATTGACATAAGCTTCTTTGGGCTCCCGTTCGGGAGAAAGGTTGGGATATAAATTAAGTAGGAAAAAATGTCTAGAAAAAAGTTAAAGCTTATATTAATATGCAAACCTTTGATCTGTTTCATATTTTTATCATGCTTTCCTATCAAAACAAACCTAAACCTCCCAAATTTGTCTCTGATCTGGTGTCTTTTAGGTGTACCTTCTTTTTATTCGCACAGTTTATTTTGAGGCCCAAAAAAGTGCTATAATGCTTTTGTAACTAAAACAGCAACAAAATCAATATATCCTGCAAGCAAACAGTTCTTAAGGCTCTCCTAGGAGTCCCACTTGAAGTGACAAGAACAATGCCTGGCACATCTTCTGACATAATGCCGTTCTGCTTCACTGTGAAGAACAGACCTCCTGTTGAAAATACTGTGGTGCAGCAATACATTATTCTGATTTATTTCCTGAAGATTCCATGTCAAAACCCAGGGAGAGTTACTGTTTTCAACGGCCACCTTTTTGATAAACTTTCAAGTACTGGAGTAAACGTTGCACTAAGCAGTGAAGTTCATCTGAGCCCCCTTCCCTGTCCAACTTTGACCTTCAAAACACTAAGTGGCTTTGTTCCCATCATCTGTTAAATTGCCTTCTGTTATTTTACACTCTAAATATGCACATAACTATTTTTTGCTAACTACTTGTTCCTCTTGTTAAGTAGATCAGTTATTTAAGTTAGTAAGTGAGACAGTTTAGAAAAAGGTGATTTCCCTCCCTTAGAATTTGGCAAAGCGATATAGTTGACCAGCTGGTTGGGGGGAAAGGAAGCATGTTTGAAGAAGGTGGAAGTCATCTTGAGGAGTTCTAAGGACGTCTGCTAAAAGTACAGGAAAAGGCTTCTTTTAAATTAACTGATTTGTTGACATAATTGGAATAGGGCCTAAATTGTGCAAAAGCCTTTGCAGAGAAGTATTATATTTGTTAGTTGGTCTGCCCCTTTCAGAGTATGGAGAACCTTGAAATAACTGCATGATTGGGAAACATATATTGTTATTGCTCTAAGTTCTTGTGTACTGGGAAACAACACTTTGACACAAACTTTATTCTCAATAAATTGTCTCTGAAGTGGGGACAGGGAAAGCCAATAGAATGAGTTCTGGCTTCCCCTATGCTCAGAAAGGTGTGTGGGTGTGCATGTGTGCAGGACAATACATTTGAATAAGTGTGGTGAATTTTTAATACGTAATTTACAGTTACTAGTGTGTGGGTTTTGATTTGTTTTTATTTCTGTACTTACTCTGTTTTGGATCATCTTACTCAGGTAAAAAACTCATTCTGGATAATAGCTGTTTAAGCCAAAGGGGGATGAAAGTTACCCCATCCCCCCTGTAAATCTTGTGGTTTGATTCATCTTTTCCTCTACCTAGATTTTCTTGCAAAGTACAGCCTGAATAGTCCACCTTACCCTAAGTTTATCAGAATTTGGGAGCTAAGCAGGGCTGGCTGGGAGACCACCAAGGAAGACTGGGGTTGCTATGAGGAGGAAGGCAATGGCAAGCCACTTCTGCTCGTCTCTTGTCTGAAGTGCTCTGTCAGTGGGCTTGCTATGAGTTGGTTGTGACTCGATGGCATGTTCTTCTAGAAGAAGGTAATGGCAAACCACCACTGCTCATGTCTTGCCTTGAAAACCCCATCAGGTGGAACTTTATGAGGTTATCATGAGTTGATTATGACTCGACAGCACACTTTACCTTTATATGGCTTCTTCTTGGTCAATCTCTGGCAATCTTACCTTTATATGGCCCCTGCCACACGGGGGGAAAAAGAATGGTCGAAGTGCGGCCGCACCAAAAGAAACACGCGGCGGCGGGATCACATAGCTCCCCTGAGCCGCCGCACAGTTGCTCCCCGGCACGATCAGATGTCGGGGGGGAAGCCACTGCAGGGAGAGCGAGGCAGCCAAAGTGCGCATGTGTGCGCGTGCGCAGTTCGGCCAGGAACCTTGATTGCTCCTGCAGACGGGCGCGCTGGCAATCTCATGGCCGCACTTGCTGCGCCGTTCCAGGTTGGTGCTACCTTTTACTTGGTTGTTGTTTTTTTTTGCAGAGGGTTTTAGGCCGGAAGGGGCGGATTGGGGATGGGTGCACACCGATTCCCAGATGTTGCGGTGTGCTCGCGCCCGTTTGCTGTGCCCCCGATCCGTCCCTCTTCCGGCCCAAAACCTCCCGTGTGACCGGGGCCTCTATGTTCTTGTTTTAAACACTAGGGTTTTTTTTAAAGCTACCTTTTGTGACTACCCTGTCCTGATACTTTAACTACACTATTAGCCTGTAGTGGGCTTGTTGTCGGGTTGGTTAGATAGCAATCACCACTCTGGCTTACTAAACAGGAAGGAGAAGATTGTCATTGTGCCCATAGTTTGTCATATAGACATGTGAGGCACTTCATAAGAAGAAGCCATGTAACTACAGGACCACAATTTGCTACTGGTAAATACTCCAGAAAGCTGTTGAATTTTAAGGGGTGGATGAGAAAGAGTGACGTTGTAGTCTGCATAAGATACCATACTCAGTAGCTCTGCTATCCCTAAGGCAGTGATGGCGAACCTTTTAGAGACCGAGTGCCCAAACTGCGACCCAAAACCCACTTATTTATCGCAAAGTGCCAACACAGCTATTAAACCTGAATACTGAGGTTCTACTTTAGAAAAAAACCCCACATTAACTTAAGATGATCCAAACAAAGTAAGGAAAGCAATCCCAAATGCTTTCATTTACTTAAAATTATTTGGCAGAGAATTCCGCACTTTAATGATGGTCTGGGCCTGGCTGGGGCGATGGCACGCGTGCCCACAGAGAGGGCTCTGAGTGCCACCTCTGGCACCCGTGCCATAGGTTCTCCACCACTGCCCTAAGGTCCATCAGTTTAGCGAGCCGGTACTATACAAGGGAATGATTTCCCAAATACCATTTCCAGTTACATCTGACATTTTTAACTAAGTGTGTTGCACAGTTATTTTACAGTTGGTTGAAGGTGGCAATCCACACTGAAAGTGAAACCTTCTACATTTAACTAAATAATCTGTTGTCATGAGCATTTCACATATGGGAGAGCCCTGTAGCCAGCAAACTTACTTCAGTGAAATAACATCTCACATCACTACAGTGCTTCAAAGTCTTCAAAGCTCTTTACATTATTATGTAAGTCTGTAAGGTAGGTTATTACTGTGCCCATTTTGCAGATGGTAGACTGAGAATGAGAGGCAGAGTGACTTTTGTAAGGACAGCCACTCAGTTCAGGGCAGAAATTAGACTGGAACTGGAGGTTTCTTGATCCACAGCTTGGCCTTTTAGCCTTCACACTATACCAATTCCTGCTACTTCTCCAGTGAAAGATGGTGCCCCAAAACACA